TCGTGGACCCCAGTTTGAGAACCTCTGCTATTGAGAACTCTCTATCACTATTATTATACATTTCTGCATTACTGAAACTTATGCAAAATAATCTACCTCTACTCTGCTGCTGTCATTTTATTACTTAATATTAACTTTGAAAACTGTTGTAACATAGTTTTTGGTTAAGTGAAGTACAATGTGAATCTTTCTGTATATAGTGTAATGTGTGTAAATTATATGTTAAGTGTCTGTACAGTGCTGATACCAGTGAGTAATGAACTGCCGGAAACAAATTCCTTGTGTATGTCAACATACTTGGCCAATAAACCTGATTCTGATCCTGATAATTAAGCATAAGGCTCTGCTCAGTTCTTATGCTAACTTTTGTCTTATTATGACAGAAAGACAGGTCACAGTGGGTTGTCTGAGCAGCCAGATCTGCTGATGTTTCTGTAAAAAGTACAGTGCATTCAGACATCTGAGCTACTGTACATTCTGATTTTGTCGTTATTGTTTTTATTTAAATTGCATTTTGATGGATAAATATAATGGGACATAAATGTTCAGACTGCTGCATGTTTTACTAGTGACCACAGGGACCAGCTGGTTCTAAAAAAAACAATCAGAACAAATAAACTAAACTGAAACTCACCACATAGCATTCTGCAGTTCCCAGACTATAAAATTCCTGACAAAACAAGTTTTTATGACGATAGATTCTGATAAACTGTTCCACAAAACTTCAAGTTAAAAAAGCAAACAAACAAACAAAAAAAAGTTTTGTCTACAGAATTTTCCCAAGGACAGCTGTTTATTTCTGTGTAATCAGCCAGCAGCTGAGAAAACGAGATGTGCGCTTTCCAGCTTATATGGGGTCAAGTCAGTTCAATAAATAGTCCTACAGCTTGGCTCGAGAAAGTTTGTGTTCAGACTACCAAATGTTAAAAAAATAAATCCAAACCATCTATAATACAGGTGTGAACACACATTCGAAATGTCTTCAGTCACAGCAGCTTGAAAGTTGGTCAGAGTAATTTTTTAATGTGTATTATTTAATACTATCCTGTTGCAGTTGGATTTGCTAATGCAAATTCTGATTTAGCTTAAGATGACAAAACTTCATCATTTTGCTGTACAAACTATACAACTATAACAAGATCCGAGGCCAAGTGGTAAAGCGCTTGTCAATGGCTTATTACCCACATAGCAAAATGTGTCTGGCCCAGTTCTGGCCCACACAATGAACACTTGACCCAGTTACTGCAAAGAATGACAGCCCTTTGGTGGCCCAGACGTGGTTTGCGAGAGGTGGTCCATGTATGGGCCAACACCACATAAACCAAAGCGCAACCAAACCAGTTGTTTCATGCCATCTTAAAAACCACACCATTGCCAGACCTGGCCCAAAAAAAAAAGTTTAAACTCTGGAGCTCAATGCTTGACATAATTGGTCAAAGCAATCGGCCATGGCGTTAGACCAACCCATTCTCACTCCCAAGTCGTCACATATTGACGCGTTTCCAAGGTTCCCTCTACGTCCGATTTTGACGCGCAGGGTACCCCCGTCACGTCAGTTACTGACGAGATGGGGCGAAATCTGTTGTCATATTTTCAGAAAGTGTATAAAATGCGCGAAAACGACCGTTCCAAAGCCTGAAATTACCTTTGTTCACTTTAGACATCCTGTCCCTGACCGTAGTGCGTAAAATTAACCATTTTTAGAAAATGTACGAAATTCACGTCAACATGTTCTAAAGCGTAAAATGACCAAATATTCACCATAGACATCCTACCCCTGATCCCAGTACCTAAACTTAACCATTAATCCTGATCCCTCATGTTAACCTCAGACCCCCGACCCAAAGACCCCTGGTGGCGCAACCCGGAAAAGCCGCGGGCGTCAAGGACTGACGCGAGGGGGGTACCTGATGCGTCAAAATAAGACGCAGAGGGAACCTTTGGAAAAGCGTCAATATGTGACGACTTGGGAGTGAGAATGTGTAGGTTAGACAGACATCTAATAGTCAAATGGGGCAACTATATGTAAAACTTTAAAATCCAAGCTCTTATTTTGAAGGGAAGATAGTTTCCTGTACTGCGTGCTTTTGTCTCCCATCACAAATCAAATCCGTCATGTACCCAAAATGCGTCACTTCAGGTTTCCAATAAACAGTTTTAAAATTATTTTGTTGATGCTTCTTTAATGAAAAATCTACAATAAACAAAAGAACAAGACAAAGAAGCAGCCGAACTAGCAATCCTCAACAACTTCTTAATTTTTATACCAGGAGCCGAAGTTCTGTTTCAGGAAATCACATCCCCAGCAATCGGCGGTTGTAGAATTAAGTTGTAAAAGAGTTCATACACCGCTAGTTGGCAGTGTTGTGTATATTGTACATGAATTGTTGCCAGCTAGTAAGTGCAAATTAAACTTTTGCTTTAAATTTAGCTTCCGCTAGTTTTTCTATGGCATAAGCATTTTTGAAGTTGCAGACCTAAATATCTTCATAAGAGCTTTAGAAATTGCAGAGCTAATTTTTGGATTAGCGCTGCCCACCACTGTTAAACTGTATAGGATGTGTGAATAATATGCAAGTAGAAGGAGTTTGTTTGCAGTATTTCGGAAAGTTCAAGAGTTTGATGTCATTAAACTTTGTTTAATACAGTATGTTGTGCTAAAGTCTCCAAAAGTCATGAAACTTCAGCTGTGAATGTATTAATGTAGCCAGTTTTGTTGCATGAAGTTGGACTTTACCCATTTGAATAGTGTTTCTGCTTTAATGTATGCCTGAGCTGCAGTGCTACAATTTTTTTTTCTCATTTGTTCTACAAAAATGCAATTGTTATGAATGTATTACAGTACATGGTCCCTGTTTGAAAGTGGGAGAGTTCATAATTCAAGATAACAGCTACTCACCACAACTCGACTACAAGTAAAACTATCCAAACAAAATCCTTGCAATATTTTTTCCTGTATTATTTATTTCACATTTTGTCAGTCATAAACGGGAGTATTAGGGCCACACAATGAGATTTTTTTTATTATTACGAGATTAAAGTCATAATTTTATGAGAATAAAGTCATAATATTGTGTGATTAAAGTCGTAATATTATGATAAAAATTTCATAATCTTACATGACGTGTCCATTTTCCGTTCCTCATTTCCTCCTTAGTTTACCAACGCCTGTGTTCAGCCATGTGTCTGTGTTTATAAAGTAGTCTGTGATGACTTGGGTCACTGTAGATTAATATGCTTTCATCCAGATTAGCTACGTGATGACTAAATCTGTTGTTGCATCCATTGATGACCATATAGCTTCAGTTTATCATATAGTCATTTGCACAATTTCTAAGTCCTGCTACTGATAATTTGATGCTAATATGCAAAAAGATTAGCTATTTATTTTAAGCAATATTAAAGAACAACTTGACAAGTTGCTCAACATTCCTCATTTTAATGCAGTGGTAACTGCATGCGTTTTCAGGTAAAGGCTAGAATATTGTGACTTTAATCTCGTAATATTACGACTTTAATTTTATACTACTTTAATGTCATAATATTATGACTTTATTCAGGTAATAAATAAATAAATCTTGTTATGTGGCCCTAAAACTCCGTCGTAGTTGTGCGAGTAGTACTTTCAATGTTTTGAAGAGGGCATGGTAAGGTGCCGTTTCTATGCACAAAATACCACATAGAGCTCAGGTATTGTTTGATAGTGGTGCTCAGCCATAGCAGAGGAATGTGATGTTTTGTGTTTAGTCAAAGTTAAAACAAAAAATGTTGAAGTTAATTTCAACTGCATAATGCTTGTGTGGATTTCTGTAAAAATGAGCTTGACACACTTGTAATAACAGTATTTTAATGTAAATTAAAGTTTTTTTGCTAAATCCATTTAAATCATATATATGTACTGCTGCCAAAAGTAATTGCACGATGATAAACACCAAATGTTTTGATGTAATTTATTTCTTGCCTTTTTTTCAAAGTTGTTGGAACTGTGATAGAAATGTTAGAAAAACAGCTGACTAGGTGAATGAAGGGGTCCTCGGTGCTTTGAGATTTACAAATAATGGCAGCTTTGCTCAAAATATCACATCTGCTTTTTTATTCATTGGGGAAATAAGTTAAGCTCTATTTCTTTTGTTTGTGTGTGTGTGTTACAACTTCCACCTTCAGTCAGTTATTAAGCCAGAGTGCAGCTTCATCATGTCAGATTTCCACAGTTTCATCTCAGAGGTCACTGCACACAGAAGGCTTTAAGGGTGTTTGTGAGTCTAATTGTCTGCCTGGGATGTTAGTGGGGCCACAGCAGGTCACTGAACTGCAACAAGACTTAGCAGAGTGATGGTTTTCAGTCATACAGTGCACACATTACATCAGCTATCCGCTCTGCTGCGGATCTCAGCTCTTTGGGTCGTATCACTCAATGCCGCCTGTAGCTTGAATGGATTTAAAATGTAGCAGGTGGACTGAAAAATCCACTCTGCAAATTGAGTCAAATTCACGAGGGTTGTGTCGTTTGCGCGTACAACATGTTGCACATTTAAAGTGGTTTAAAGCTGGAAGCTGATTTTCACATGGATTTTCAAAACAACAGTTTGTTCTTTGGACATCATTGAATTGGTAATCTCTCCCACTCGGTGGGGGAATTGCTTTACTTCTTGAAGGTCTTTCTGACTGTATTTGGCTCACATATTTCCCAAAGCAATTATACTCGGGGTGAATTTAGTTGTCTTGTGCTCTCCGTGGAGAGCTGGAGGAAATGTATGTTTGTGTGTGTGTGTGT